TCTTTCTTTCTTTCTTTCTTTCTTTCTTTCTTTCTTTCTTTCTTTCTTTCTTTCTTTCTTATCCTGCCAGACTTTCAGAAGCTCTGGACGGTGTAAATAGCATTTCCTCCAGTTTTTCCCCACAACAATTCTTAGAGAGAACTTGGTTTAAGAGACAGTAACTGGCTCAAATTTATACAGTGAGCTTCCCTGGATGAGGGTGGACCTGCGCTTGAAGACCATAGCTGATTGAACAAACAATAGCATCTTGGTTCACTTAAGCTATAAACCATGGTTTATACAGTATCTAGTTTTCACATCACAGTAAGCCAAAACCATATGCCAGTTAAGAATAATGCAAGCTAAGCCTGTGTCTTAAGCAAGTTTGCCAGATCAGGAGCATCTGCTGTGGCTTCCCTCTCCCTTTTTTGCAACGTATACAAACATTGCACCCCTTGTGGATCTGATGTCTGCCCCACAGCTCCTGCAGATGTGCTTGCAATCTGCTCCATCCTGTCTGTTCTATCTTGCCCTTCGGGTTTTCAGTCAAGACCCCTCCTTCTCCCACCCCTCCTCACTTGAAGTGACATTCCCCAGGGGCTTCCAACACCACCACCCTCCCCCAGTAGTGTCTGGCTAAGGCTTTTGGAGAGCCATTTGTAGTGCTAAGTCACTTCAAAGTATTCTCATTGCTGCCTTGAAAGAGCTCGCCCCCTTGCCCATGGGCAAAGCAGGCTTTGTGGTTAGCCTCCAGCCTGTGGAAGGAATCTGGAGCTTGGATGGTGGCTTGCTCTTCACACCTGCCTTAGAGCTATCTCTTCCCAACTTAAGACTAGGCACTACCTGGGACACATTCACTGTCCTTTGCTTCTGCCTGTGGGCAGTGTTGTTGCTCTGTTCAATCCCATGGCCAACATGGGTGATTAAAAAGAGTTTGCAGCAACAGGATGCATCTTCTGTTTCTCTCAAGTGGATACAATGATAAATACAGGATTGGCATTTTTGCTATTGAGATATAGAGAATTGTAGAATTGGAGGGGTCTTACAGACCATCTCTGTCACTTTCCTGTGTGGTGCAGGGGACCTAGCATTTGAATCGCCCACCCCACCCCAATAGAATAATGCCTGTCCTCTGCTTGAAGACTTCCAGCCAGTAAGAGGTCTTCTGTAAATTAATTTCCATGAAATGTAACACATGGAAAGATTAACACATAATGTAATGTACTAACTGTGCACAACTTATTGAAGAGGGGCAGGGAAAGGGCTAGATATATTCTCTGATTTATGACCTAAACCAGTGTTTCTCAACCTTGGCATCTGTAAGATATGTGGACTTCAACTCTCAGAACTCCCCAGCCAGCATGCTGGTTCGGGAATTCTGGGAGTTGAAGTCCACACATTTTAAAGTTGCCAAGGTTGAGAAACACTGATCAAAACAGTTGTAAACTGTTTTAAAAACTTGAGCATAAATATAAATCATTACCTTGTAGGTTTGTCAATATTTGGGATCACCCAGCAGGACCCTAATGGGTAAACAGGACAATCCATGGCTATGAAGCATGACAGCTATATGGGGGCTTCAGTTTTCATCAGCTGGGGGGAAGGCGCATGATAACTATTTCTAAAGCGTCTAAGCTTCTGGGGATGCTTATCTGCTTAATCTTCCAAATTTGGAATCATCCAAGTGTGGGATTTCAACTTTTACAATCTCCAGCCAGCACACCAGGATGACCTCTGGAGGGCATCCAACTGGAGAAGGCAGGTTTAACTACTGCAAGAGGTAATTGGAGCTGAATAGATCTTTGGAGGAGCCATACCCTCTGTAAACATGTTCACTCTCCCCAGACCATGAAGAAGGCAAAAACTGTGTTCTAGCAATAGTGCCATTTGTGCCAGAAACAAGATAGTTACAAAGAAGGGGGGAAGACCTTTAAGAATGTGAGCTTGAGGGGACAAAAAACCCTGCAGATTTCTTCTGGAGAACATATTATGAACTCCGATGAGCAATTAAGTAGGGACATGGCCTGAGGCTAGGAAAATGGGCTGGTTACTATTTTTAGAAGCAACACAAAAAGCCAGCGTGTTGGTTTGATTCCTGTTCTTATCATAAGTGTCAAGAAACCAGGGATTGTCTGTTGGAGATTATCTACTACAAATGCTCAAAGGAGTGAGGAAGACAGATTAGAAACAATGAAAGTGATGTGTGATCTTGAACAAGATTTCTAAGTTTCCAATGGGGAGAAGCTGAAGTGTGAGGAGGCTTTGAGGTCTGTTGAGTTTGGACCTTTCTTGGATGCAGTTATTGATTTCCAGTGATTCGAAGGAATCCATCTGATTCTTCTGATTTAGAAGCTATCCGTATTCTGGCAGTAAATCATTTCAAGTCTCTTTCAACAGCTGGCTCTTAAACAGACTGATGACTGCATGAGACTTAAAACCATGGCCCTCAAGATTGAGTTGGATGGTCTTATCCTGATTAATGTGAAAACAAAAAGTTCTCTCTCCCAATGATATTTATTTGTTTAATGGCTAGATGTATATCCTGTCTTCCTCCAAGTTTCCTCCTGTAACAACAGCTCGGTGAGATCGGTAAGAAATAGTGACTAGTTCAAAATCATCTAGTTAGCTTCTATACGGGAGGGTGGAATTGAACCTGCCTTTTTCTTTTTACAATTTTAAAAATAAGTAACATACATTCCAGATGAGGTGGAAGTGGCAAAAAGTTAAAAATCAGTAAAACGAGTTCCAAGATGAGGTAGTAATAGCCAAAAGTTGTCACTTCCTCTCTGAAAAAATGAGTGTGCATGGGGGAGGTCTTACTGCTGTCTTCCCACAAAGAAACGGAGGTCTCTGAAGATGTTTCTTTTCCTTGTTTTTTCCCTTAGGAAACCACCACCTCAGTGGAGTTGGAACAGTTTGCGAAGGAACTGAAGCACAAAAGAATTACCTTGGGCTTCACTCAGGCAGATGTGGGACTGGCCCTGGGTTTACTCTATGGTGGGTACAAGCTATGGATTGTAGGTGTATAAAATATCAAAGAAATACCTGGGGGGTGTTTTTTTACTAGGATGAGCTTAACTTTTGCTTCACAGACTTGACTAAGAGTCTCTCTGTGGCCCTTGAACAGTCCTGGCTCAGGATGATAGAACTTGTAGCACAAAAGAGTTAGAGAGAAGCAGGCTGAGTCAGAGATGTGTTGTATTGAATTGAATTAATCTTGATCTGTTGATGAGATCGGCACATGAGTTGAAACAGTAGTTCCAAAGTGAGAAGCACCTCTTCTTTAAATGCATTGTTATCTAACAAGTGACATTCCTGATTTACGGGGAACCTTTTTATTTAAAGGGTTTTGGTTTATCTAATCAATTCAGTCATGTTGCCACACTTCCACGGGCCATTTCTCACTGCCTGCTCTTGTAGGAGGGATTTCTCTGTAACCTGGAGCCTTGATTAATTTAATTTTTTCCTCTTTGTCTCAGCAGTGGAAATAAAATGAAACAGAGATCCTAATTTTATTGGGTTTTCTACTGAAAATAGTTGTGCGTTTGAATATAAAATGTATTGAAAACACTGGGCAAGAAGTTGGCCTAGATGACTTTCAAAGGCTGTTCAAACTCTTGAATTATTAGCAAATTAGTTGACAGCAATATTGAATATTCCCTACTGTTCTTTAGTTACTACAGAACATAAAAGCTTTTCAAAAAGCCCCTGGAAATCAATGAGATTGCGTTCTGAGTAGATATTTATAGGATTCTTTTAAATAATGCTCACTGCATGTCAACTTCTGACCTACTAGATTCCTCTTCTAAATATCAATCCGCTTTATTTTTTCACTTACTCATGCAGGGAAGATGTTTAGTCAAACCACCATCTGCCGCTTTGAAGCTTTGCAACTCAGCTTCAAGAATATGTGTAAACTGAAGCCCCTCCTTCAGCGTTGGCTTCAAGAGGCTGACAGTAATGAGAATTTGCAGGAGGTGAGTTCCTAGGACCGAAGGGTTTGTTTTGTTTTATGTTTTTAATGTATAAGGCACCCTTCAGAATTTTGAAGGTCCAGAATCCCACAAACAATTTGTTATTTCAAAAGATTTACCACTGGAAATTTTTCAGAGCAACTCCTGAATGGTCAGATTGGTTCCAAAGAAAGACAGAATATTCTGTTTTCTCAAACTGATACATTTTGCATATCCTTAGTGGATACCTTTTGCAGTAGGGTTCAGAACTGGAATGATAAAATGAGGCATAGAAGGGCAGGCTGGTGAGAAAGTTGCAAAGCCCGAGTTTTAGCTGCAGTGGCAAAGAAAATTGGGAGAAGTTTTGCTATATTGCTCCACAAAGGTACAGCTTGGTTAATGAATATGTGGATAAGCTTTCTCCACTCAACGTTTCGATTGATTGATTGATTGATTGATTGATTGATTGATTGATTCATTCATTCATTCATTCATTCATTTGGACCAGGATGGTTATATTGGGGGATGATCAATCTAATATTTCTCTACCATCTCAATATTTAAAACTCCCTAATAGTGCTCACTAATTCCTCAGTAATGCTCAGTTGAATGTTCTGTAAATATGCTACTACAACAGTAAAATACACACTTTTTTATTACCCTATCATTCATTTCTGTATGTTATTACTCAGAGCTTCATACTAAGTAGGAGGGGGAAGAAGAAGCAGAAAGAGGAGGGACTCTTCCCTAAACAATATTTTGCATCTTTTCTAAGGTGGAGGTGAGCAGGAATGAATGAAAAACTGAAATAGCAAAAAATAAAAAAGCAAGCATTACATAAAAGTTGCAAAAAATTGTCAGAAAGATATAATGACCAATGCAAAAATTATGTATATATTGGAAAGGAAAATAAATAGGTCGTTGAATGATGGGATTTGAAGGGGTGCTAAAAAAGGAGAGGGGAAATTATAGAGAAACTGAAGAAAGTATCTGCTTCTGTCTTCATTTCTGAGGATGTAGAACTTCGCCTTCTCAAGAGGGAAATCAGATGAACTGAGATAGAGATGAAGTGATAAACCTAATGGATTAATTAAAAAGTTAGCTTAATGTCCATTCTGGATAAAATGTAGAAAATACTAAAGAGAAAATAATTTAAACATACAGAAGAACAAGTCTTGCTGAAGAGGAACTAACATGGCTTCCTCAAAGTCTTGCCTTATTAACTTACTAGATTTTTTTTTTTTAGGATGTCAGCAAAAATGTAGATAGGGTAATTTAGTAGACAGCATACTTGAGTTTTCAAAAAGCCTTTGACAATTCTCTCCTGTAAAGTTCCTAATCAAATTCAACAGCCATTAGATAAGAGGGGGGATGCTGTCCAAGAAAACAGAAGAATAAAAATTAACCCTTTTCAAACTGGAGAGATGTTCAAAGTGGGTCCTTCATGGATTGATTGCTTTTTAAATAGTTTCTGTGCGTTCAGGAGTTACAGGTGAACAGTAAGGTAAGGAGGCCGCATTCATTGATGATATCAAATACTGTTCAGGATAATAACGCCACAAGGATCTTTCCAGGCTGGTGAATGGTTGTCAGAAAAGCAAATGCAGTTCAATACAAGTAAATGCAAAAGGAGGCACGCCAGCATGAAAATCCAACTTGCATGTACGTCATTGAGACCTGAGCTGGCAGCGATCTTGGGATCATGGTGGACAACATGTTAACTCACAGTGTTGCTGTGGTAAAAGGGGACATCCTATGCTTGGAATCACTGAGAATGGAATTTAGAATTAAATTAATGATGAATGGAAAGATCGCTCTTGGAATACTGCGTTCACTTCTGGTCACTACATCTCCAAAAGTAAACTCTAGAGCTGGAAAAAGTGTGAAAATCACATGGATATTCCTTGGCTAGGAAAGGGTCAGTGTCACCCTCTGAAAGGAATTGCAGACAGATTCAGAACCATGTCACCATCCAGTTAAATTGTGAAATTCACCACCATCAGATATGGTGATAGCTACCAATTTAGATAATTTCAAAAGGGGACTGGACAAATTCAAGTAGACCAAGGCTATCCATGGCTACTAACCTTTATGGCTGTCTACTATCTCCCGAATCATGGGTAGCAGACTTTAAATAATAGCTGGTTGAGAGTAACAGTAGAAGAAGGCAATTAATCACCTGTCTGGGCTTGCGAGCTTTTTGAATGCATCTGGTTGGCCATTGTGTGAGACTGGACTTAATCTAGCAGGGTTGCTCTTCTGTCTTGACATGTGAAAGATGTACACAAATTTGGGAGGAGGGATGCAAAGTTGGTGATTAGAAAGCTTCATAAGTTTGGAGGTAAAAGGAATACCCTGTTTGGATCTGTCATTCATTGAAATACGGGTCAAAGGGAAGGCTTTTCAAAATGGGGGAGATGGCAGCAGGTTTGAATAGATGGATGGGATAATGTTAGGGTGCTAGTAGGCAGAAATGAGAAGGATACCCAGAGAGGTAGAGAAGAGGATTAAAAGACAAAACCCACGGGAGACATTTAGACTCTTGGAATGGGACAGATCACAGCATAGCATTGCTTAGCCACATAAGTAGCAGAGGAGTACAGTAGACCCTGGAGTCATTTCAAGCGGCTCAGGATGCCTTAGAACAAGGGTTCTCAAAGTACGGCCCACGGGCCGGATACGGCCCACCAGGGTCATTTATCTGGCCCGCCCGCCTGATTGGCCACCGCTGCTGTCTGTCGGGGCTGTGTCGGGAGCTGCAGGCGATGCACAAGGAGGGAGATCGCAGAGCTGGACTATTCTACGTGACAGGTATGCTGGGTCCAGCGGCTCTCCTCTCATCGTACTCCGTGGGAGGGATCCTCTGTGCAGGGTGATCAGTGTGTCGTTCTCCAAGCTGCTTGTGTCATTCTTTCTCCCAGTTGCCCACCCTGTTCTTGCAATCCTTCGGAAACCATCTGATCTTCCCCAGGTCTCATGAGTACAGGTGCCCTATTTGGAGAATGACAGGAGCCCCATTCTCATGGTGCTTCGGGTTTGCATTTTATGTTCCTTCCTGTTTTACCCACACAATGGATT